TTTAAAAGAATCATTGTTACTGAATCCCTGCTGTCAACATCCTGGGGGCTACCATTGACCAGAAACTTCACTGGACTAGCCACATAAGTACAATGGCTATAAGTGTTGCTTTGCACATGGTGACTTTCTGTACACTGTCTGTAGGGAAGAAAGATGTTGTATTCCATTTGAATTACAGTCTTGAAAAGATTAGACAGGTCGACATTACAACTGTGCTGCAGGTCTTACCAACTACAAGCAACAACATGAGGGAGCTACTCATCTTGTTTGAATTAAAACTTTCCAAGTGGTTTTTCTAATCCTGAATTGTCTGGGTATTTTGCATCGATCTTTCCCAAAGAAGGTGTTGTCAAACCTGTGTTGAAAGAGGGTGAATTGAGAAACTTGATAGGCTGAAAATTGAAAGAGAGGAGGCTAACTGTACTCACCACCAAGGTTGAATGGGATGTGTCCAAGGATATTGAAGGAAGCAAGAGTAGAAGCTAAGGTCAGATTGCCATAATTTTCCAAACCTCCGTAGGTACAGGAATGTTATTAGAGGACTGGAGGATTACAGTTGTTACATAAAGGGTGTAACGGGTAAGCACAGCGACTGTGGCAGTCACTATTAACCTCTTGTGATGGGAAGGCTTTGGGAAGCGATAATTCATGGCAAAATTTACTCCTCACTTGGGCACTATGAATTATTGAAGGGAAGCCGACACAGATTTGTTAAAAAGGTTGTGTTCAGCTAATTTGACTTAGTCATTTGAGGTAACGGAGGGCTGGGGATGGGGGTGAGAGGAGGTGGGGGACAGCTAAAAGGGCAATATGACAGAGATGGTGTACAGTGACTTCCAAGAGGTGTTTAATAAAGTGCCACACAACAGGTTTGACAGCACAGTTATAGCTCATGGAATAAAAGGGATGGTGACAGCACAGATACAGACCTGGCTGAGTGACACAAAACCAGTGTCGTTGCTGTTTTTCAAACAGGGCGAAGATTTATACTGTGCTTGCTCAGGAGTGTGTATCAAGACCATCACTATTCGTTATATATTAATTGTGTAGAATTGGGTGAATTTACAGATGAGACAAAACTTGAAAGTCTTATCAATAGTGAGGAAGTTAATGCTAAATTTTAACAACGTAGCCTGTTTCTAAACTGTGGCGTATGGCAGATTAAATTTAATAGAGAGAAATGTGAAGTTAGGAGGAACGAAGCAACACAAATTGAAAGATTTAATTCTAAAAGTGGTATAAGAATAGAGAACAGACATAGAATAAGCTGCAGTTAATGTTTATAAACCATTGGTTTGGCCTGAACTGGAGAATTGAGTCCAGTCTTTGGGCACTGCACTTTAGGAAGGATGCAGTGGCATTGGAAAGGGTTTAGAAAAGACTCAAGAGAATGATTCCAGGGATGAGGGACTTCAGTTACTTGGAAAGAGTTCTCCTTCGAGTAGAGAAGGCTGTGAGGAGATTTTGTCAAGATGTTTAAAATCACAAGGGATTTGATTAGATAGGGAAGAACGGTTTCTAAAGATGGATGGATTGAGAACAAGTGAACACTGATTTAAAGTGATTGGCAAACACCTGAAATAACAATATGAGGAAAAGCGTTTTTATGCTGCAAGTAGTTAGAATCTGGAATACACTGAGAAGGTACTGGTGAAGACCGATTCAATCATAGCCTTAAAGGGAATTGGATAAGCACGTGAGGGGAAAAAATTGATAAAGTTACAAGGAAAGACTGATGTGTGGAACAAGCTGATTCACTGTTACAGGTATCTGGCTGACCTGACAGGCTCCTTCCAAGCTGTAATCATTCCAAGCTTGCTGCATTGATTATGTTTATTTGTTATACCCTCAGGTTAGTCAGTGTTCTAAATAAGCCATCACCAGGCATACTCATACTTGAACCAACCTGTGTTTGTTTTGTTATTCCATTCATGGGAGGTGGCACTGTATTTGTGGCCATAAGAACATAAGAAATAGGAGCAAGAGTAGGCCATTCAGCCCATCTGATCCACTCCACCATTCAATATGATCATGGTTGGTCTGATTGTGACATTAACTCCACTTTGTTACCTTCCCTCCACCCCTTCTTCCCCAATGAAGAGTCATCTAGAATCGAAACGTTAGCTTGCTCTCTCTCCATGGATGCTGCCTGACCTGCTGTGATTTCCAGAATTTTTTGTTTTCAGTACAGATGTCAGAATCTGCAATAATTTGCTCCTGCTCTGTAACCATATATTTTTATGGCCACTTCCAGTTCATTTTCTGGGTGGTGGTAACCACACTACGTTGATAGTGGGATAGTTCAGTGATAATGTAAGTGAATATGATGGGAGCGATTGTTAGATTCTCGTTCTTGTATAACATAATTTTTGAGGTGTTATGAATGGTAGTGAATATTGTGCATTCATCTACAAATACTGATTTTGATGGTGTGAAGGCCATAGAAGCAGCTGCTAGCTTTGCCCTGGACAATGACTGCCTTTATTTGTGTACAAATAAAAATCTATACTGTGAAAACGGGACAACACATTGCGAGTTGTGAATCAGCTCAAATTGCTGGGCACTTTGCGCCAGTCTGATGTTGACTTGGCACAAGTGAAATCTCTCTGTCAATCATCTCATCAGTATCCACAAATTGCTGGATTTATGGTATAAATAAAAATTAAAGTTTCTGCCGTTTACATTCAGAGTTGTGATTTCATAATATAAGGATTCCCAATGATGTGATTTTGTAAAAACCAAAAGAACTGCAGATGCTGTAAATCAGGAACAAAAACAAAGTTGCTGGAAAAGCTCAGCAGGTTCTGGCAGCATCTGTGAAGGAAAAAACAGAGTTAACATTTCGGGTCCGGTGACCCTTCCTCTTCTGAACTCGAAACATTAACTCTGTTTTTTCCTCCACAGATGCTGCCAGACCTGCTGAGCTTTTCTAGCAACTTTCTTTTTGCTTTTGACGTGATTGTGTAGTCCTCACATATAACTTGAAGGCCCAGAAGGGGAGCCTTTGAAACTGCAGAGTCTCATTCCTCTAAGTCTAAATTACTCGAAGCTTCCTTACGTTTAAAACGTAAACACTTTTTTTCCCTTTTTTACTGTCTTGGCTTTCTCCGACTTTTCATGGAGTTTTATTTTCCCACCCCTTTATTTCTCTTTTTTGTGCTTCATTTGGCTCTGGTTTATCTGATTTCCTGCATGTGCTGTTTCTTTCTCTAATCTTAAATCTAATTGGCTAAAAAGGTAAAGTGGAGATTCTGTTTGAGCTGAAATGTGGTGTCCATTCCTAATTACCTTTGAAAAGGTGGTAGTGAGCTGCATTCTTAAACCACAGCGGTCCCTGCACTAGGTACTGTACTGCTGCTAGGAATAGTGGTCCAGGGTTTTGACAGAGACAGTGATGCACACGATCTAGTTCCAAGTCAGGAAAGTGTGTGGCTTTGAGGGGAACTTGCAGGTGGTGGTGTTCCCATGCTCTTTGCATTTTTGTCTTCCCAGGTGAACCCGTGTGGATTTGGAAGATTCTGTTGAAAGAGCCCTGTTGGAGTTATAGCAGTGCATTTTGGAAATGATACACTGTCTGTCAGTGGTGGAAGGAGTGAGTGTTCTAATTGCTGGAAGGGATGGGCTGCATTGTCCTGGATGGTGTCAGGATTCTTGTAATGTTGGAGCTGTATTCATCCAGACAAGAGGGGATAATTCCATCACATCAAGGACTTTTGCCTTATGGATGGTGGACAGGTTTTGGGAAGTCTCGATGGGTTACTCGCAGAAAAATACCAAACCTCTGACTTGCTTTTGTAGGCGAGGTATTTATGTGGTTGGTCCAGTTAAGTTTCTAGTCAATGGTAATCCTTACTATATCGATAGGGTGGATGCAGTGGTGGTACCTGCATTGAACGTCAAAGGGAGATGATTAGATTACTTCTTGTTGGAAATGTTACTGGCTACTTAACAAACCAAGCCTGAAAATTGTCCAGGTCTTGCTGCACATGGACACAAAGCTCTTCAGGACCCGAGGAGTCAAAACAGTACTGAATGCTGTGCAATCATCAGTTAATGTCTCTACATGAGAATCTCCAAGGCTTTTGTACGTAGCTGTTAACAACAGGGAATCTTGTGCTGAAGCAAATGCATGCTGACTTAGTGAAAGCCAGTCATTGATGTGAGCAAAAGAAGGCCATTCAGCATTGTCCCCATACCAGTATCAATAGGAATAAATCTGTCAGTCTCGAAATCTGAAATTGTCCCCCAGCTGGGGAGGTGGGATCTAGATTTCCACAACTAATTTATGTGGAATAGTGTTTTTGATCCCTCCCCCGTGCTGCCTAGCACTAAGTTTAAGATGACACTTCATTCAGGACTCTCAGTATTCACCCAATCAAATCATTAATTCAAAACCTTTATCAGATTACCCTTAATCTTCTAAACTCAAGGGTATGCAATTTAGCAGTTTTTAACTTCTGTGCCAGTGTTAATAAATTCTTCTGCTTTTCATGCAGGTTATGTTCAACACTCTTGAGATTTTTGCACTGCTCCAGCTCTGCCCTCTAGACCTTCCCTGACTTCAGTCACTCCAGTAATAATGGCCATTCTTTCAGTTATCTGGTTCCTAAACTCTCGGTCTTCGTCATTTAATCTCTCAGCCTCTGTCTCAGTCCTTTTAAGATTCATCTTAAACCCTAGCTGTTTGATCAAACTTTTTGCCATCTGTTCTAATGCTGTTCAGTGGCTTGGTGTTACATTTTGTCTTGTATTACCTCTGTGAAGTTGATTGGGGTTGTTTATTGTGCTATCAGTGTTCTGTTATATAGATGCAAATTATTGTTGAAAATAACTTGTTATACGGCACCTTTCAATACAGGAAGGTACTCTAGATGGGAGAAGTATCATCATCCCTCAGCCTTTTAACTTCAAGATAATGTAAACCAAGTCTATGCAGCCTGTCCTCACCAATCTTCTCAGTTGATTAAAGGTAGGGATTTGTTTTCTAAATGTAACCACAGATGGAGTTGAAGCAAGGGAGGATGTTACGTGATCTGGAGAGTGTATCAGCCAATTACAGCAAATCCAACACACGGTCCAGGGCGAGAAACCGGACTGTCAGCACTCAGCTGGAAAACAAGAAGGTAAGCTCACTGGAAATTTCAGCCTCCTCGATAGGACAGAGCTTCTGACAGATTTGCTGAATTTCACAGGAAGGCTTTTCCTTCAAGGCCGGTTTCCCTTCTGCAGAAAAAAATAACGAGCTATGGTGATGTAAGGCGAGGTGACGAAGTGAAGAAACATGCAGCACAGGAGTCAGAGCTGTGCTGATTCTGGCTGTGTTGGCACCACACTCATTTCTAACTTCCAAGATTGTAGCTTCACTGTCTCACTGTGGGAGAATGCGCTGTTGGAAGTGCCAACTTTTGGATGAAATGTTAATGGTCTGTCATCCGCCTGCTAAACTGGATGTACAGGAAGCCATGGCACTATTTTGTAAAATAGCAAGGGAATTACCCCTGGTGTCTGCCTGATATTTCTTCCTCGGTCACCATCACAGAAACCAATCATATAATAATCACCATGTTACTGTTTGTGGTATTTTGCTGCGTAGCACATCACTGCTGTGTTTCTTATATTATGACATGGCTGCATTTTATAAATACTTCATTCCCTTCAACCTGCTTTTGGGATGTCAGGTGCTCCTGAAAAACACTGTATAAATGCAAGTCATCATTTTTAGGAGGAGGCCACTTAGTGCATCTTGTCTGTCCTAGCTCTTTAAAAGAGCTATCTAGTTAGGGCCACTCCCTCTGCTCTCTCCTCGTCCTTCAAATATTTATCCAGTTCCCTTTTGAAAGTTACTATTGAATCTTCTTGCATTGCCCTTTCAGACAACTGTTTCCATATTTTGACAGCATGCTTAGGGAGGCGAGGAGTTGGGAAGAGAAATCACTTCTCTGTCCATTACCTTTACATTCTCCACTTTGTCAGCATTCTCTCCTCTTAGTAAATGCTGATTCCAAAGTACAGTAACTATTCCAGCTTTCTACTGCACCTCTAAATGTACTTGGTTTCCTTTTCCCCTAATAATTCATATCCGTCTCTTACCCACTTTATTATTTATATGCTAATAGAACATTTATGCATTACCTTTTAAGCTAACTCTTTCTGTCTTGTTCTATACTCCTTTTTGGCAGTCCTGTTTTCTTTTCCCCCTCAGCTTATTAAATTTGGCCAAGTTCTCACTTGAAGACCCCACCAGACGCATGTCATACACAAAAAAGCCGAAAGAACTGCTGGGAATCTGAAACAAAAAGAGAAATTGCTGGAAGATCTCAGCAGGTCTGGCAGATCTGTGGAGGGAAAGAAAGTTAAAGTTTCAGGTGCAGTGACCCCTCTTTAGAACAGATCATACACCCGACCCGAAATGCTAACTTTCCTGCTCCTCTGATGCTGCCTGGCCTGCTGTGTTGCTCCAGCTCCACACCGTGTTGTCTCTGATTCCAGCATCGGAGTTCTTGCTATCTCTGAGTGATTTATACACCCTGTCTTTTTTGGCTTTTGTTGCAAGATATTGTGTACATCCCTCATTATCCAAGGTGCCCTAGCTTTGATTTACTACTTCAGTGTACCTAGCTCGTCTGTAAAACATCTCCCATGCAAAGATCACCCATTGGTCTTTTCTGTCCGTCTTGATTCCATTTTCCCTTGGTGAGATTGCCTGTCATCCCACTGCAGTTAACCCATTTTAAATACTGTAATTTGTGTTGATCCTTTCTTTACTAATCTAAACCCGATGATCCCTCTCACCCAGCAATCTCTCAATGGCATTTCGTCTGTTTGGCTTACTACATTCAGAAGCTCCAGATTCAGCAATGACTCCTTTCCAGATGGATCACTGATAAGTCAATAAAGGAAGTTTTCTTGAACACATTTCAGAGATTCCTTCCCCCTCCTTTCCCTTTACCTTAACACTATCCAAAACAATATTAAGGTAATTAAGTCCTTCTGTATTGCCACTCCCTTGTTCTTGTGCATCACCATTGTGATATCGTGGCAGCTTTGCTCATCCATCTCTCTCCATTTATTGAATACCAATGTAGCACTCGCTCTTGCTTCTTTAACTCTACCAAATGAATTCTGTCATCACTTTCAAGGCATTTTCTTTCCAACATTTACAATGTTTTCCCTAAACAATGCTGACAACCCAGCTCTCTGTTTTCCTGCTGTATCTTCTATGAGTGCTTTATCTCCTTGACTATTTCGTGTGCAATTTGCTCCATTTTTAAGTCACATTTCTGTTGCTATAACATCATATTGCCACCTGGCAACGGATTGTAGCTCATAAACCATATTCACCACATTTTGTGCATTTACATGTATGCATTCTTGTCTTTGTTCTAAACTTGGCCACATGGTCCTCCTCAGTCTATTCATACCTAATATAGTACTAGTCCCTTCTCTAGGGCTATTCGGTGCTCACTCCCTTATAGATCTTATTCCTACATTCCTATACCCCCTTTAAAATTGTGTAATTCATTTTTTTTGTTGCTTTTCTCCATTCCTCTGACCAAATTATATTATTTCAGATTTACTGGAAGTGAGACCTTGAGTTTCGAAGTCCAGTGTGATCTAGAGACTTGGCCCGGGCAGTGTGAAGGCTCGGTGCTGGCATAGACTTTGTGAAAAGACTAAAATTCGAGTATGTTTTTTAAAAAAAACTTCCTTATTCTTAGGCTGAACATTTATTTATGATTATTTCAAGTCTATAAAACATATTTAAGTTTCTGTACCTAGCTACCCTGTACCTAAGATGGTGCCAGAGGCAACGTTACATACTTTTCACTCTACTCATTCGAGAGCGTGTGCCAATAAAGCTAACTCAATTCAATTTTCTCTTAAATTTCATTGGCCACATGTCAGCCAGTTTCACTGGTCTGTCTCTTTTCTTCAGAAACTTGCTGCTGTCCTCCTCATAATTTAGCACTTCTTACAGATTTCGTGTCTTTGCCAAGTTTGAAATTATGTTGTGTTTAAGCTGGGTCATTACTCTATTTCAAAAGGGCCAGTGATTCTAATACAGACCTTTGTGTAGGTGAGGTTTTTAATCGATTCTACTGCTGTAGGCAAAATATTCAGATGCTTCACAGAGTAAATTGATTCCATTTATCTTGCTATGCATGCACTAACTGGACAGCCTCTTCAAGGCTGTATGTCTGTGTTTGTGTGTGTCTGTGGAGCAGTGAGAGAGGGAGGTTGGTTCAGATAAATTCCTTTGACCCAGAATGATGATTCGCTTTTTTCGGTCTTCTTGTCAGCACCAGGGCAGATTTCTGAAGAACATAACTCTTTACATGCAGCGTGATTCCAGTTTTTATACTCTTAAGGCATTAAATTGTACTCAAATCCAGCTCCACTTATTTGAATGCATAACCCAGGTTGAGCTTCAAACTGCAGTCCCAAGGGAATACTGCCTGGTTGGAGGCAGAAGTGCCAAGTGTTTGGAGGAGCCATCCTTCAGATGGGATTGCCAGGGCAAATATTTATCCCTTAATCAACATTACAAAAACAAATGATCTGTTTGTGATCTCACTACCTTTTACATAAGCTTGCTGTGTCACATTTCCTACATTCTAACAGTGTCTATATTCCAAAGTACTCCATATGTTGTAAAAAGCTATGGGACATCCTGAAATCATGAAATGCACTATAGGAATTAAAGTTTCTTTTTTCTTCCAGCTTGTGAGTAAATTTACACAATTTTGCAGTCATTAGGCTCTGAACTTTAGGCTAGACTAACACTCTGTCTTGCTCCCACACTGCCATCTCTCATTGGAAACATTCAAGAGCAGGGGAGCTAATTTTTCTGCTTGAACAATTTTTTCTCTTTCGGACTGTGGAAAGACTTCCCAAACTCAACTTGTTGCTGCCCGTGTCTGGAAAATGTGATTCAGACCACCATGGTTTCCTTTAGAAAATAAAGTTTAAAAAAAACACAGCCCCAGGCCAACTTGCAAAAGCGTGTCAATGACCACAAAAGTCGGCAAACCTCCTCTGCATTCTTGATTCCAGCCTGAGGCCGCACTGTGACCATCTGCATCATCAATCCCAAAGTGTTTTGGTTTAAATTTTTTATTGAGAAGGGTACATTTAAAAAAACCTCTCCCAACTGCTTCAGGACAGACCAAAGCTCTTCACAGCCTGGACAATCCAGCAGTCCTGAGGTACTGGTCTGGATTCGGGATTACAGAATGCAATTTCAGCCCAGAGCCCTGCAGTGAACCCCGAACTGGAATTTACTTTTTTTTTATATATGTCCTTGTTGTAGCTAGTGATTTTTTCTATTTGTGTTTTGAGATTTATGTTTCTAGAAGTTTGGAAAGTGCTGTTTTTCACAGTGTTACCTGAGTACGTAAGTACCCCAGAGTCTGTTCAGATCAGCAACTTCAACAGAAATGGAAATTTGAGAGCGGGAGCATCCTTTCCAGCCCCTGTTCTGTTCCACCCACTGGATCATGGCTGATCTGTGCCTCATTTCCATTTACTCACTAATACTGTGGATGCTAGAAGCTTGAAATAGAAGTATAAAATTCTGGAAGTATTCAGCAGATTGAGAGAGATGAACAGAATTTGTGTTTCAGGTCTGTGATTTTTGTCTCTCCACAGTACTGTATGAGCTGCAAAGTATTTCCAGCATTTTTCTGTTTTTGTTTGTCTCTGGATTTCCCTACCAGCAGAAATAATTTATCTGTCTGTTCTAGGTATCCTATCCAATCTACTTATTATTTTAAATAACTTGGTCAATTTAGCCTCAACCTTCTAAACTTCACAGAATGCAAGCCTAGTTAATGTAACCTGTCTTTATTGAAAATCTGGAGATGAAACATTTACATTCTAACGAATCTATGCTGTATTTTCTCCAGAACTAATTTATCCTTCCTGATGTGCCCAGAACAGAGCAGTGACTTCACTTGGAGTTTAGCCAAAGCTCTGTACAACTGAAGATGATTATCCTCCATAGTGATTTTGTGTATCTGGTACCTAACTCATTTTGCACCCCCCAACACACAATTAAACTAAACATGATGGCTCAGCTCAGTCTGGCTGATTTTGAACCTTGCTACAATCAACTCCTACTTGT